AATTAAATAAATTCTCTGTATGCATTATTGTACCCTTTTTCATTTTAAAGTGTTGAAGTCCAAGTTAAAAACGGAATCCAACCAGCAGCTTTCATTTAATTTGAATACAAGATAAGTAGCATAAAAAGCTACATATCGTCACCTGAAATGCAGAAGGACGTAAGAAACATCGTCGCTGAAATGCAAAAAGTCGCAACTAATGAAAAATTCAAAACTCACTTTTTGATTGATGTGATGGACTTCATCGAATTATAACTCCCCACATCGAATTATGCAAAAAAATTATTAGTCACATCTTTTTCCATTTCAGTGACGATGTTTTTTACGTCTTTTGGTATTTTAGGTGACGATATAATTTAAGTACAATTTTTTTATAAATGCTTTTTATACTTTAATTCTTTCAACTCAAGCTCCCGGAGCTTTAGCTCGAGTTTTTGCTTTTGCAGCTGGATCCGTTCGAAGTGTTCCCTCTCCTCACGAGCTTCTTTTTGTTTCGAAATTTCAAAAGTTTTCCGCGCATATCTTCCAATGTCGTGCATTTTTTCACCCAGGCCTCTTACCACTTTTAGTAACTTCTCCTGATTAAGCGTCTGCTGCTTCAGCATCTCAATTCGTTCGTTTTCCCTTACATCCGCATTTACTACCGACGAACGCACTCTCCTGCGAGGGGTAGCTTCAACCTCGCTTTGAAGATTTTCCTCTTCAATACAGTTTTCTGAAGCAAGTGGAGCACTGATACTGTTGCTGGCACCATGACTTACGCCTTCAGGATTCGCTGCTCTTTCTAAGCCTAGAAGAGAGTCAACCTCCTGCTCGAGAGGTGATAATGTCAGCTGGCGATAAGGTCCACCGCCAGTAGCGATGCTCTCACTTCTGTTCAGTGCTATTTTTCTTTTCAGCTTTAACTTATAGTCGAGCCATACCTTAAAATATGAATAATGAAATGTTTATGTTGGCGGCTGCAGCATTCCCCCAGAGTGAGATTTGTAATTCACTGACTTACCTTATTCCAGCCTCTTCCATCACGCACTGGTGGACCAAGTGCATTCAATTGAACTGATAGCTGTTTCCACAGCTCTGCTGTATCCTTTTTATTGGACCCGAAAGCACCAAGTCCTCGAGCTACATCTGGATGCTCCCGCATCATTTGCACCATTTTGCCAAATTCCCGCGCATTCGTTTTCTTCATGCTGCTTAAATATTGTGAAAATTATTTACATATACATATATTAGCACAAATAACCCCTTTTTTATTAATATATGCATGTATGTACCTTTTATTTTCAATTTGTAACATATTTTTTATATTTTTAGATTTTATTTTATTTATTATCACGCACAAATTTCCTTCGCCAGCTTTTGAAAGCTGAGGCGAACGTTGTTTAGTCGAATGGTATTTCGTAATTTCAAAATTTGAACGTTCGACCTAAGACGCGAATGTCACGGGCGAGCAGCAGGCGAACCGCGAACAATAATATGAAATCGGCCTATTCGACATATTTTTAATTCGACTCGCGAACGATAATAGGGCCCTTATTAAAAAAACTCAATGAAATTCAAAAACTCTATCTTGCATTTGGGTTTACTCAATACCAATTTGAGCTGTCGCAGTGTTATCAAAAAAAAAAGTTATCAATAGGTAGGTTCAGAAGGCGCAGCAGTTGAGCGCAACCGTGGCTAAACAAAAATCAGTGATCGTTATGCGTCTTGTGAACGACTTCATACATTAGCTGTCAAATTCAACTCTCAAAGGTACACACCAACATGTTGTCTCAAATGATCAGAAAAATATTACGATCATCTAACACGCAACTATTCAGTTGATCAGAAGTACGCAACAACGCGTTCAGAAGGTGCAATCGCACCAGTTACTGAGCTGTTTCGCCTTCTGAACGTGCCAAATGAAAATTCGTTTCTCTTGAAATCAAGTTATATGGCTGCGTATGTATGTACATATGTATGTACATATTCCGAAATTTTTTTTTATTTGTAAAGGCTCTCAAGAAAAACTAAAAATTCATATAAAATTACGCACAACAAATGGAAAATAAATTTTCTTCTATAAAAAATTTCTTAAATCAGTATGCAGCTCTTAAGAAAAAAATGCTCGTACACCTCGTCGCTACCATGTCCAACTATCGAATGTGAAAATCGGCACTTTTCAAAATTTTGATTTGCCACTAATAATTTTATTTCGTATAGCAGCATTGCTTAATTTATTGTTTTTGACAACTTATTTGTTGGTTAATGACTGCAAATAGTTTTATAGAAAATTAGAGACGAGAAATAATACTTTCATAAAAAATTAAGTACATGCATAGATTTAAAAAGCTGCTTGAATACAAAAGTTTTATGAAAATGTCACATTAAACAACTGTCTAAATCTACGTTATTTTTTATAAATAAGGCCGTAAACATTTCCTTACATCGTCGATTTCCATATTCTATTTTTACTCTTTCAATTTCACTGACCAGCGCTGCAAACGATATCAACTAGTAGGTTAACAACGAGAATTGAAATTTAATACGCAAGTACTTACCGTACTACAAGTATACAGAGAGTAGATTTGCTACTCCCTTTTGGCAGCAGCAAATATCTCTCGTACGCGATGAGGGAAAGTAGAGTACGTACTTTGGTTGAGTAATAGCAAGTACGTCAAGTATTTACTCTCTCAACGCCAAGTAGTGTATGTATGCGGAAAAAAAGTAACAATGTGTTGGGAGTAGAGTACAATGCAAGGAGTACTTATTGAATGAAATGCGGCAAATACAATTGCGCTGGACTCTAGTATCTATTAACGCTTATTACGTTAATTGGAGTTCGGGTGTCATTATTATTAATTTTGTCTATATAGACAATGTATGGGCCTTTGTGGTCATCGTTGTAATAAAATTCACTCATACCTGCGTTACTAGCGTCTCTATTTCCATCATGTTGAGTTAATGTCGTGTTTGTTTCTATTTCCAAATCTTCCTTCCATTTCTTTGCGTTTCCTTTTATCCGAGTCCTACTACTGCTCCTGCTCCTGATTGCTGAGTTGGACAAGGGCCTCTCCTGGCCCCCGCCATTACGACTCATTGTAGTTTAGTTTTATTAGTTTTTCTGGATTTTTGTTTTACAGAATAGGTAGAAGTAATTGTTAGATAAAATTGTTGAATGATCTTCACTAAAAGTTGTCTTTTATGCTTTTTAATAAAGATTTTTAAATTTTTGCAATTTAGAGTCGAAATTTTGCGCGCGTCCTCAGAGTTGCCAACTCGCGAAAAAAGAAAGGATCCCTATATTAGCGCATATTTAATTGCGCTAACTTCGTTTACAGTTATAATCTAAATATTTTCTGGTATTGAATCTTCATAACGATTTTTGTTCTTCAGAAGGTATGCTGCCAAGAAACTTATGGGGTCTGGTGGCCGTTCACGAGCTAACGTCTGCAATCCGTGTAGTAATATCGGTGCTACTGTTTGGTCTAAATATTGTCGGGTGGGCAGTGAGCTCAGATCTGGACGTGGCTTCTTACATTGAGTTGCCGTAGACAACTGTTGATTTGTTCCATTAGCGGCTGTGTCGGTAGGAGCTTGCTGATCGGGTGCCAGTTGCGGCGTGGCTGATCTATCATTTCTATCCATTACTTCTGCAAACAAAAATATATTTGTAATGGGGATACACTTCCTTGTATGTACACATTTACTAACCTTCTTCGTCCAAATATCTAAGAATAATAAAACACAAACAATAGCTAACGAAATTTTATATTTCGGACGCTTCAGTTCATATGCTTCAGTTTTTATTTTCGAGATTTGATTTAAAAATCAATGCCAATCTAAAAAAGAGCCCGAGTACTTCAACCCAGAATTTCCTTTCTTTTAACTCGGAGAATTCACAATGATTGTAATTCGTGGTACACATTGGCGATCAAAATCGACAGTTTTTTTTTGCTCAAATTTCATTCCCCTGTATGACCATGTGAGCACACGTTTTCGTCAGTCAACATCCAACCGCAAAAATTTTGTGGTTGACTGTCAGTCAGCGACTATACTTAACTTAGTTTTTTCAAAAATCAAAGCACAATATTCGCAGCGTACACAAATGTGTTACATGTCGGTATGTATTTACAGCACTGTAAATAAGAAAAGATTTCCGAATATTTAGTCTGTTCCTTTGAACTTCGGACTAAAACCTCTGGGACTGTCAAACTACAATTTTACTCTCTCAAGTGAGAATAAAAGGTGAACAGATGCAGAAGTGCACGGGAGCGCAAAATGCACTATTTTCTGTAAAAACGTCAGTCGGTTTGTTTACATGTCATTGGTACAACAACATTCGCGTTTTGGGAGGCAAGTCACCCCTGAGCAGTTTTTTTCCATATCTTAGGCCCACGGTGCAGCGAACAAAGGTGGCGCCGTCAGTGGTACCGCTACTTTGGTTTCGCCGATTTTGACATTTGTGGTAACTTGTAAATAAGCTTTTGTTACAAATCAGCGAAAGAGAAATTTGAATTATAAGTGAAATATCAGTTTGAATTGTGTTAATTTGCAATTTGTGAGTGATTTTTGAGTTGAAGACTGCGTAAAAACCAATACAATGAAGTGCTGTGTGTTAAATAGCCACAGCCGTCAAGATGCAAGATGCGTAGATGCAAGTGTAGCGCTGGGACGAATCGCTGCATTTTGTGTACATAGGGTACGGCAAAGCCGTTCCCGAAATGTTTCTCTATTATTATATTAACAGCATTTCCTCACAATGATTTTGTTTCTGCTCCACGCAGCCTCCATTACCAAGTTAACTAATCAATCCCGGAGAGATGCTGCTGCAATTTTCTGCATCAGCCTTAATTGCAAAGCAATGGAGAGCACTAAAACGTTTGCTGAAGCAGCCTCAATTGCAAAGCAATGGAGTGCACTAAAATGTTCACTGTTCTCTAATAGATTAGGTGAAAAATGCAATATTTTCACATTTAGCAAAATTAAAACACGTTTTCGCTGTAAAGTGAACTGCTTTGGCAGTTTCAACTCGTTCTTCTTTTCGCTCTATTCTTTGTTTACTTGTGGTACACAAATGTCAACGCCCAGGACGGCGCAATCTTGTATTCTATCATTCTTGTCTTAGGCCTATGTGCGCTTTTATTCGAAATCTAAATGTTTCGGTATCGAGTATCGAGAGTATTGGATACTTTTTAAATCGGTACCGAGTATCGATCAATACTTAAAAGTATTGACTCAGCACATCACTACTGCTGTCAACTCGACTGTGTCATCAGCAAAACAGCTGATTCTGTCAAATTCACTGAGAGCCGATTAAGGCGCATATTCATAGTCATAAGTTGTGTTTTCGTATTCTCCAGCAAAAATATCCAGTAACTTGCCAGTAACCAAATTTCGGAGAGTAAGCCAATATTTCCTCCCAATGAGTGAAATATGCAAGAAAGTACGAACACGCAAAACCAGCAAGAAGTTGCTAGTTTTATGAACAGCTGATTAATTTGTTATTTTTCGATGCAATTTTCTTAGAAAACTAGTGTTTTCCATCTTATTACATATTTAAATAGGTTTATTTTGTCAATTCCAACTCTAAAAGCACCAAAAACAATTATTTTCTTAATGTGATTTACAATAAGCATCATGCTACCAGCTGTTTTTCTTACTAGCAAATAGTTGCTAGTAAAAATTTATCCAGTAAAAATCCAGTAAAACTTGAATAAGCGACTGGAACACGGCTGTTTGTCAAAAGCATACGATTTCGAACTTGCGTAAATGTACATTTCTAAATGCGATAGCATGAACGCTCTTCGAAAACATATGTTCGAAAGTGCTAAATGCTGCATTTTAAATGCAGCAAAAACGCTACATTAGTTTCGACTTTTCTGGCTAAGTACCAACTTAAAATTTAGTTTCGGCTGCACCTGCAATTAAGTCGTAACTAGGAAGAAGTATTTTATTAAATTAATGAAAATAGACGAAATTTGTAAAAATTAAGTTGGCAGAAGTTGGTGATTTTGATAATATTGAATGATCTCCAATTGAAATCTACAAAGAGCGATCCATTTGAATCGGAAGATGAAATTAAATGCGTATTACAATTCGAATAAGGCTACATCACAATTTTATAATTGGAATGATTTATATATATAAATGCTCAAATAATAAGTCAATTTCAAGCTTTTCTTTTAGAGCAAATTGGTGCATAACATTTAGATATGTGTTTGTATGTTTCACAGCATGCTTTCGATAAACATCGACTTCACATTACTGCGGTAGTTCTGGCTATTTCACACAATTAACAAGAAACTTATACCTTATTCTTTTGCATAAACATTATTAAATAAAAATGTCATTATTCCAAAATATCGTAAAGAAAAATCGATACATTTTCACACTCGTTTTGCAATATCGTAAAACTAAATTAAAACTACTTACAGGTCTATTCTGCACGTTACCGAAGATTTTGTAACCGGAAAATTGTATTACCAAAAAATGTTACCAGTTCTTGTCACCGCGATTCTAGGTACTTGGTAATGCAGTTAAAATATTCAGCAATTCAGCTATGAAGAATTGTGCAAATCCTGGCATTGCATATTTCACGGGGCAATAATTTGTTACCAGCTTATGAGATGTAACTTCTGTAACTTCTGACTAGGAACAGTTGCTCATGTGGACAACTGCTTTTGAAGTTATGGAGCCAACGCCAAAACTATATGTGCACAGGCCTTCAATTCTGCGCTGCGAGTTACAACTGGGGAAAAACCTGCCTTGGTGAATTTTCATCTACATGGTTCATGAAGGCTGGCATGGGCTTATGGATCAAAGGACTTACGTCTTTTCGATGAAAGACGTAGAATATTCGACAGTAAGAAACGTCAAGTGGGAGAATACTGCAAACCGCGTAAGAATGAGAGAGTGTGCGATAGATGGCAAACGTTCTAGAGCTGTCATGAGTACGAGCGCAGGTATATAAAATTTAAAATTTCAAAATTTTCAAATATTACAAAAAAATGTATACACATAGTCTTACCCAATTCGCCACTTAATTAACATGCAAATATAGAAAATGCTTTATAAAATTTTTAATTGGTTTTTTTCATTTATAATATTTTTGTCACGCTAGATTGGAAATGCCCAAATGTACTTCACCTAAAGCGCATCAAAACGAAATTAATAAAATAAAATAATTTTTAATTGAATATATTATTAACCCCTTTAACTTTGTAATGTACATTTAGGATGCGATACGATAAAAGGGTTCTGGTAAAGTCTGAGCGATCAATCGGCATCGGCTAGTATCGGCACAAAATTGAGCATCGGCATCAGCCTTTTTTCATCGATTCTTTGCCGATTATTTGGAATTTATTTTCATATGTTCAGGTGAAGTGAAAGACAACAGCCAACATCAAAAAGCATTTGCAGATAGCTCATAAAAATTATTTTTTTTTTGTTTGAAGGTGTTTCTACGTTTTTTCTATACAAAAGTAAGTTCGACAATTTTCTTTTATATGGAGGATACGGCCAGCAAAAAAAAAATGCTAAAAATTAACGATATTTGAAACTTGCACTTCAGTGTACTAGAATTTAATGGCCTACAAAACTGCATACCAAAATTCTGATTAAAAAGCTTGAAGTTTTGGTGAAAATAAGAAGGATTTTTCTAATTTTTGTACAAGGTTTTAAATCTGAATTTATATGGTGCTTGTTGTATACCAGCTAAACTTGTATAAAAAAATAATAGACATTAAATATACAAAAGCCATATGCCAAATGCCAAAACCGGTCAAAATTTCGCAATTCTTTTATTTTGTGGACCACTATATGTATGCACATACATACCTAGCACATAAGTTCTTATGCATTGAGTGCAATAGAGTGTATTTCAGTACAAAACGAAATGAAATTTTATGGATTTATTTATTTATTTACCAACAATTTTTATGAGCTTGAGGTCGTTTAAAGTGAAACCATATTGTGGAAAAGCAACAATAATTTGAAAAAAATGGTAGTTTTTATGGAATCGGCCTCGGCATCAGCATCGGCCGATTCTTTCCCCATAAGCCGATTAATCGGCATCGGTACCGGAAAATAAAATTGGAATCGGTCGGCCTCTAGGTTCTGCTACTCGATCCCGCAAAATATCGTTTCAAAACTATCGAGTAAAAAGTAACGGTATCGAATGCCAAAAATATCGATATGGTGTCGTATCGTATCGAAATTCGTATTCCTAAGTCCCCTTTTAGACACGTCAAGCTTGATTTCAAGTCTGCTCGTTCGTTGGCGAAGGAGGTGAGAAGAGAGGGGAATAGTACAGATACCTCCGTACCGTCAATTCGTTTCAAGTTTTCTTGTCTCTTTTGATCTTTTCGTTGCTTCCCATTTAAAGAACCAAGGACTTGAATTCAATTAAAGTTGACGCGTGTGGAAGCAAATAGAAAACACAAAAGAGAATGGGAAAGAATTGCTTTCAACACTTGACTTGTCTGAAAGGGGACTAATAGGTGCTCATTTAAGGCCCGTTTACATACAACTTTGGCGTTGCGTTGGCGTTGGCGTCGCTTCGACAGCTGACTATGAATACATGTATTTATATGAAAGTCTCCATATAACCAAAGTTGGGCAACGCCAACGCCAACACAACGCAGAAAGATGGCCAACTCTCAACTTTTCGCGCGCGTCGTTCGTCAGCTGTTCTAAATAATCAAAATTATGTGATTTAATTTTAATTTTTAATCAAATGCGGGCAAGAAATATAGTTTTTAATGCAATTATTGATGTAAAAATTTTGATTTATCAGCCGCTAGTATGTTAATTTAGTGACCAAAGTATTCTGTGCTAAGCGTTCATTGTAGCAAGCACGGGCGTTACGCGCGCCGCTGTCAAAGCGACGCCAGCGCCAACGCAACGCCAAAGTTGTATGTGGACGGGCCTTTACACACGGCGATTTTTGTTGCCGCAACTCGACGTTTGTGGGAGAGAGCGTGACGAGGAAAGGAGAGGTGCACCGAGTTGCTCGTGCTCGGGCAACACGCTTTGTGCTCTCGGTCGTCTGTGTAAATTGAACCGCTATTCACAGCTGACAACAATAATTGCATACACACAAATCGCCGTGTGTAAA